GCTGACCCTCCAGAGGGTTTCCAGAGGTTGGTGATCACACGGAAGGAGATTGCCCTGATGATGAAGATGGTACAGGACAGTGTAAGGTTCAGATATGGTTTTTTTCATAGGCTTGCTATAAGTCCCAGCTGACTCAATGGAAACTAACAACAGCCAGGTATAGAAGCAAAAAACGAGTAATGGGGATGGTTCTTGAGAACATTGGACAATGTCCTCAGGCAAGTCCTAGAACACTAACAGGAGGGAACTGCAGATGAAGACTCATTAAGTCCAGCCAAGTTAATCTCATTGGATGTGAGTGGTGGGGCTGTTTCAACAGGATTCAGAGGCTTATTATCTTCAGCTTCCTTATCTTCCCATATATCTCCATCCTCATTCTTGGGGTTCCATTTCTTCCCAATAAGTTCTCTCACTTTAGACACTATTTGAAGTTGGCATTTTATTTGGCATTGTGATTCAGCTACTCTTACAAGATTTTGGGTTTGGCTTTCAGCAATGTCAGCTCCGTTACAAGACACAGGCTTTCTTTAAAAGTATCATTGGAAACTTTGAGGTCTGTATGTGCTGCTTGACTTTCCACTCAGAAGCTCTCAGAGATCCCTTTCTTTTGATATTTTTGTCTAGTATGACCCCAGATGAAATGGATTGATACAGAGACTGGGACAACAGGAGTAGGTGTGCCAGGGTCAGTGAATCTGGCTCAGGATAGGGTAGGCTTCTGAACTGCTTGCTGTACATAAGGTCGCTATGTGTCTCAGGTGACTCAGTGGCACATAACAACAACAACAACAACAACAACATGAGAATTAACCAACTTCCCAAAACTGTAGAAAGATGTCAAATATAGATCATCCACTATCTCACTTCTCATCAAAACTTGATCCATTGGTGATGATGTTTTTGATATCAACATTGCCACATTATTACAATAGAAGAGTGCAATTTATTACTTGTAGTAGAGCCTAGCACTTTTAAGACTGGAGAGTATGGCCAACCACTGGTTTAAGCCTGGAGACCATGAGCTAGCTAACTAGATATAGATTTGATAAAACATAAATGTCATGTACATCACACTAAGGCTATTAATATTTTTAAGATCTGCTTATAATTGTGTGTGAAGTTTATCTTTCAATACTACTTTCCTAGCCATTGCTTGACTTTGCCATGTAAATGGGCATGTTAAGCCCAATCTCAAGAGAATTGATTAGTCTCCCCAGTAAATTCAGCAGCTTGAGCCACAGATTAGATCACCCCTCCCTATGAAGAATAAGAAGGAGGAAGAAAGAGGAAGGAGGAGGAAGAGGAGGGAAGAAGGAAGAGGAAGAAGAAGGAGGAGAGAGGAAGAAGAGGAAAAAGAAGGAGAAAGAAAAGAAAGAAAGAAAAGAATAGAATATATCTTCGGACTCAGACATACAGCAGCAGCCATGGGTGAAGCAGAGGATCAGAGAGACCTCACATGAAACGGGGCTGACTGCTGCCCCCCCCCCCATGGACAGAAACAGAGGTAAGCTCTGGTTATTTGACAGCCTATTGATACTTTGGACCTTGACAAAGGATTTTTGCAGGGATGTTAATTTTCACAAATTAGAATTCACAACCACATAGAATAGTTACACTGAGGATCAAGATCATGTTGACAAATAATATTGATCATGACAAATGGCAACTTTCAATTGTTATAAATATATGCTAGTAATGATTTATTTATTATTTTTTAAAAAATACTGGATAGAGGCTTATTCAGAATGGCATCCCACAGCAATCTCTGTTGCTAAGAAGCTTCTTGAAAATATAATCTTCATTTAGAGAGCACCTTTTATTATTCTTTATAATGTCAGGGAAACTCACATTACTGGGCAAAGTAAAAAGGAAATATGTAAGATATTTACATATTTAAGAGATGTTACATTGACATTATCATCCTCAATCAATCCTCTAGCTTGTGGCACATTGAAAACTCAATCAGACAAACTATGTGATTCTTTGGATTTATCTTGGACTAGAGTATTTCTTTAGTTTTTCTGAATTTAAGTGCTCTATTTGAACTCATAAATTAATATAAAACTTTTAACAGAAAGCTCATGGCTCTTTCTTATTTTTCAACTTACTTTTATTTCAATTTGATGCAATTTTGTTGTTGTTGTTACGTGCCATCGAGTCATTTGTGACTCATAGCGACCCTATATACAAGAGCTCTAAGTGCTGTTCTATCCTGTGCCAACCTAGCCATCTCAAACACACTTCTTCCCACCGCTCCAGTCACAGAATCGATCCATCTCAT